TGGGTGTAAAGGTTTTTTTTTTTTTTTTTTTTTAAAAACAACATTCTTTGGAGATGGCCCAGTAGCCAATATTTTGATGACTAGTAAATGAGGCTATTCTTCAGACAATATGGATCTCAGCCAGTTTTAGTATTTTGAAACAACACAATCTATTTTATTTTAATGTGAAGCACCACCATGGGGAAAAAAAACACATTTTTGTGTGATGCATACTGCACTAAGGTCCAATTCTGCCAGGCACTGAGCGTCTCCTAGCATGTTACTGAACTTTCAAGTCCCATTTTAGTTAGTGGTTGAGGATGCTACGTCCATTCCAGGATCAGTATCAATGAGCTAAACTCTACCCTTAAGTACTCATGTGGAACTTTTATTTAAGATAAAGTGCTCACATGCATCCAATGCAGAATTTGACTCTAATTATGTTTGGTTTTTGTTAACTGACACTTGTGCGAATCCTACTGATGTCTACCCTTATGCTGAAAAAGTGAAGTTATTTTGATACTGGAAATTTTGGAGTCCAATGTTAACAAGAAAGCAGTTTCTCTTTATCTACCATGATAATTTAAAAACACATACACTATCTAAATATTAGACATTTAAAAATATAGCCCATTATTTCTAAAATTCAATCCTAAAGTCTAAAATTTTTTTGCAAGCACATCTATTTGAATGTACAAAAACCAGACAACTAAATACTTTGTTTGCATTGCAAACGTGGGGCTTTACCTGGTGCATTTGTAAAGACTATTCAAAAATGTACTGTATGTAGTAAAGCTGTCTTCCACCATTGATCCACAATACAGGAACTTTAAAAATAAAATAAGGAAACTCGGATGTGTTGCTTTATATGGAATGACTTGTCATTACAACACCAGACACTAGCTGTTCTTTAATTGTCATAGTACTAGCATCAAGCCTGTCACCAGCAAATGCTACTTTCTGTTAGTAACATAAAAATGAGATGCATAGACAGTGCATTTGTAAAGGATTGCTGCATTTGTCATCAGATTAAAGTCACCTGGCCTTCAGCCTTATATTTTACAGCACCACCTGGTGGGCTATAATCATGTGGAATTGGACTGCCTACTGCATTCTGTTGAATTATAACATTATAACGTTTTAAACTGCTCTAGTTAACAGGAGTGTCAGTGTTTTCATTTAAACAATAACAAAAAAATTCAGAATTTCACATCTGCAGGGTGATAGCAGGAAAATACTCTTTTCAAAACTTTTTGTCTACGGTGCCATTTTTGAGTTTAACATTTTCCCATTAAGTGCACATACTGCATAACTGGGCTGTTTGCTGGAGTAGTTCAGAGACCTCCGCCTGCTTAGTACTATGGCGCAAACACCATTAAAAAGCCTTTTAACCTTTTATTAAAGATACAGAAACACAAACACTTGAAATGTAAAGTAAGGCTTTCATTTTAACAGCATCCATCACAGTCTTATGCAGGCAGCTTCACATCCAACTTCAGAACCTTCTTGCTCAGTGCAGGCACCCAATACTTCTACGTTGGCTAGAAATGCCCCTGCAGACATTGTGGTGTCCCCATCCCCTGCCAAGGAGATTGTCAGAGGGAAGGCGCCAATCCCCCTCTCCAGTGCCAAGGAAATAGCACATTCCTCAAAGACGGGAAGATTGAGATCTCCAGTACCATCTACTAGCAGAGCATTGGATATGGAAGGTACGGTGTCAGTGTGGCTCCCTGGTACCAACCTCTGCAAAATAGCCCTCTGGGCTTTCAAGACTGTACCTTGCTGAGATGCCAATATCCTCGGTGCAGCAACTGCTGGATTGTGGTAGCCACTTAGTACTGATGGCTCCTGAAGCTTCCACAGCTTTCCTGGCTCAAGTACCTATAAGGGACATTTGTAAAGCTGCAACATGGTCATCAGTGCATACTTTTACAAGTCACTATGCTATATCTCGGCAAATCCAGAGATTATGCAAAATTTGGATGTGTAGTTCTACAATCACTGTTAAGGTAGACTCTGAAACCTACCCTTCTGCAGACTGAACTGCTTGTGAGTCACCTGAAGTGGAATGCACATGTGTAATCACTCAAAGGGAAAAACGGTTACTAACCTGTTCTGTAACTGTTCTTCAAGATGTGTTGCACATGTCCATTCCATGACCCACTGTCCTTCCCTTCTATGTCGGAGTCTCTAGCCGGTAAGAAGAAACTAAGGAGGATTGGGGGCAGCTCTGCCATTTATACCACTGAACTGCAGCACAAGAGTGCTAAAAGTGGATGCACCACCCCAACAGTTGGCTCTAAGGGAAAAATCTCTGGCTCTGGTGCACTGGGCATGCACACACTTGAAGTGGAATGGACATGTGCAACATATCTCAAAGAAAAGTTACAGAACATATTAGTAGCCATTTTTGTAAGGGGTCTGTCAGTTCTTGTGTTGATGCTTTTATGGCAGAATGTTCTCAGTAAGGCAGATACTATTCAGGGAAACAATCAAACTGACTATATACAAAGTGCTATCAAATGGATAAAGTAAACCAACTGGAAAAATAGCAAAAATGTCCCCAACTTTATTCGGAAATGGAAATCTTCAGTATTGCTTGTAAAGATGGAAAGGCCACAATGTTCAGACACTTGATTTTCAGTTTGACAGTCTATCGCCAGTGGTAATTTGTTACTCAACTCTGACAAAAAACTACGGTTCAGTTTTTAATTCCCTTGATGTGAGAATAAATGGATATAGAATCATAAAACTTAAATTTTCAGTTCCTTTACCTTAAATAGAGACTCTTGTAAATATATTTTGCCTTATTTTTTTAAAAAGATGCTGGTAAGTATGGCATGTGATAACATGACTAATTTTCTTTAGCTTGATGCACTAAGGCAGTGGTCCCCAAACTTTTTACCTTGTGTCCCGCAGATCCCGCCAGCGGGTGCAGATCACCGGGCATAGATCCCACTGGCAGGCATGGGGCCATTGGCTGGGGCCAGGAATGGAGCTGGGTGGCGCTCCCTCCTTACCTTCCCCTCGCAGTGGGCTAGCCCAGGCCCTGCTGTGCCCCCTCACCCCCAAATGTTCCTCCATAGTGGGGTATGACCCACAGTTTGGGGACCTCTGCCCTAAGGTGTTTAAAGATAAAAGTATAAAACCAAAATAGAACAAAACACCCCGAATATGTATGGTACACAAATGCCCTCAGGGCTAATATCTGATCTCAGAGATTCTAATATAAATCTAGAGTAACTCCCTTGAAATGAAGGAAGTTGCTCTACATTTACATTGGTGTAACTGATATCAGAAACAAACCTCGATAACTAGACTTATGTCATTATATACATCTATACACTTAGGCATCGATTTCTGAACACGTTTTAGGGTCCGGTTCTGCCATCTGATCTGCCTAGTGTAGACCCCTACGTCCCCATGGAGCATCTTAGACTTCAGTGGGACTGCATAGGTGTAAGAATCTGCCCACATTAATCCAGTGACAGGTTTGAGACTTTACTTTTTACATGTCATATGGGATGGCAAATTGTTCTAGAAATACGGAAATTTTTAGGAAGTGGTGGACATTAGCCTTAAACCCAAATATATTTAGTGATTTTATTATATTATCAACCAGTTATGTTTAGTTAGAGTATGGCGAGATGGAAGGGATGGTAACTTTTGGGGTTAGGTACCATCTGTGAGTTTGCACATCACCTACCACATTTGAGCCCCAGTTCTGAATGGGACTGTAGGTGCTACCTGAGTGAATCGGTGGTGAAACTAAGGGCCCATCTGTACGATGGGATAATGTCCCCTGTTGGGGTGATTTCTAAAGTGAAATAAAGTATTATGCATTAATTGGTCGGTGTAGACCTTGCCTGGTACGCACTTAAGGTTTCCTAACGTGCTTTCGCATAGTGCTGTTTGAAACAGCACAGCATTAAAGCATACTCCCTATAGACTCCTCTGGGCAGGGATGAAAGTTGGCAGAATTAAGGCAGTGTAGTATAAGTGTCACTTTAACACTGTGTTTGTCAGCTTTCTATCACTTGTGTCTTTTATTATAACCATAACACTTTCTTGTAAGGGGACCTAAATTCCACATTTCTTGGTTTCCCAGCACAGCTTTCATATTCTGGAAGGTACCATCGAGTGCTTGCAACCTTGTGTGTTGAAGCTTGTGGGGCGGGGGGGGACTGGTTGTTAGTGGCATTGGAAAAATCACAAATTAGAATAAACTTAAGATTTAATAGTTATGGTAAACTTAAAAATCAAAAATTCCCTCACTTCTTGGAATAAATGTAGTTTGATCAAACATCAATTTGGTTTTGTCTGTTTGGTCTCCTCAGGTGTGATAATCCTCCTTAAATCACAATACCCTATATGTCACCAACTTGAGATGGACCCTTCCTCAATTGAAATTGACGGCAAAACGTTAATTTCATGGGGAATGTGATTGGGCCTCTGAGGTCTGATACTAAAGTCTGAGCACCTGCAACTTCCACTGAAATTGAAATATTCAAGTTACCCTCAGAATTTCATTACTAGAAATATTTGTGTTAAACGCTGTATCTTATTTGTTTGAAATATATTCTGAGGTAGTAAATCAGAGCTTTGCAGTTGTGCACCAGACAGCCAAGCAAGAGGATGCCAAATGGCCTTGAAGAGCTGATCAAAGCTTGTCAGTCAGGTGTTTTTATATATGTTCTTACCCTTTAATCTGGTTGTATTTTCATTCTGAGGAAAATAATGAGTATTCAGCCCTTCATGCTAAACCTGCCTTGGCACTTCTCAGTGTTACTTTTACCACATAGACAGTGTCTAGGTCTTCCTGACCCATCAAGTGACTACAACATTTACCCAGCAGAAATAATGGTAATTCTCAATAGAGGAATGAAATTGACATTTATATAGAAATATTATCATGACTTGGCTCTTCCGCCCTAGGTGGCCAGTTTAAGGGGGGGGGGAGGAATTAAAAAAACATCTTTTTGCAAGTAACAACTCCTTCTCTACCACCCAATTCTACCTAGGTTCACCTTTTCTAGCCAATGAAGATGGTGTACTCGGTGGAGTGATAGTTCTTCGATCTTGCAGATGTTCTGCAGAGCCTGACTCTTTACAAGAAAAGCAGACTCTACTAGGTAAGAAGATTTTTGTATAGTTTTATTGTGAACAGGAGGTGCTAAACTCATGAACCAAGCAAGGGGTGAAATAAGAATCACATGTACTACTACCAATTGAAAGCCATAAATAGGGGCACTTGGCGTAAAAGAGAAGCATCTGTCATTGAAATACAGGAATGCTCTGGGGGAGGGACAGAGTGGAAGTTGTAAATATTTTCTGTTTTTGAAAATTGTGGGTGAGACCATGCCTCTTAAATTGCCATTTGTGAACTTAAATATGATCCGTATTGGTCTCTGGAGCCAGAGCCCTTTTTAGACAGAGTGTAGATAATAGTAATATTTGCATTTTAATTGCTTGGATTCTTTTTTTTTAAATATTTTTAAAACACTCTCTCCCAATATAGAGCATCACATTTCTGGTCAAGAAAGATGCATGCACATACATCCTGCTGTTAAAGCTGCTCAGTGCATTGCATGCCAAGATGTGCTATATAAGAATGTTTACCTCTTCATTCTTGGAGACCAAAATGTGTATGATGGTTTGGAACATGGACTTGAAATTTGGCAGATTGGCCAAGGGTCTCTCGGCTCCTAGAGTCAGAAATTCCTTTGGCTAACCCCCCATGAAAATCAATCCAGAAAAGCTACAGCACTGACATTTGCGTGTGCACAGTAGTACTTAACATGTTTGCTCCTGAAATGCCTAATTATTCAGCCTACGCTGTGGACTTCCCCCCCTGCTGTGCCTCCAGACAGATGTCACACAGACAAAATGAGTCATTCTCGTCTTCCTGCTACTGTTGCATTTCTCCCATCAAAATACTCTTTGGACTAGGAGAATTTGCACTGGTCTGGGAACCAGAAGACCATATGTTTGTCTTGCCTCCTCTGCTGATTGATAATAAAATCTGTGCACATTGCAACCCTTGCAGCTTCATTGCTATTTTGGAAGGGAGACAAGTCCCACCATTTTACAGAATGATTAACAGTCACTTGTGGCAGATGTGAGAATAGAACCCAGAGACCAAATTTCCCACTTCTGTTCCAGCCCCTTTATGCTGCCTGAGCATTGCAAAAGGGGTGGAATCTGGCTGCAGCTACCAAGTTGATAATTCCTTCATCAGACGGTAACTGTGTGTTAATGATCCTGGCTTCTACACCAGGACTTTCCCTCTGCACCCCAGTGTAGAAGCAATGAAAGGGGAAATGGGAGAAGGTGGAGCAGCAGATTTCTGCTCATATTGTGCCAATAGACAACTAGCGTATGGTCTCTTAACTATCATAGCTAGTTGTCCATAAGTTACAACTGCGTGGGGGTTAATATAAACTGTGGGGAGAGGGATAGCTCAGTGGTTTGAGCATCGGCCTGCTAAACCCAGGGTTGTGAGTTCAATCCTTGAGGTGGCCATTTAGGGATCTGGGGCAAAAATTGGGGATTGGTCCTGCTTTGAGCAGAGGGTTGGACTAGATGACCTCCTGAAGTCCCTTCCAACCCTGATATTCTGTGAATATAAATTTATGTTGGAGCTGGAGCAGCTTGAGAATTGGAGCGATAACCAGTCACACATTACCGCTTAGAAAGAACCTGCCAAGTGTATATCTAGGTATATTGTCTGTAAAAAGAGCTATTCCTGCGTATGTAACCACAGTTTCATTATTGTTCCTTTTTAGTGGCTGGCCCAAAGATCACTACTGCTGCCAGCAAATAGAGTTGGCAGTTAGTCTTTTAATTCAATTAGTAGAGGTTTTCATGGAAATTAGTGACAACGGGGAATGTTCTGATCATGTAGTATGACCTTCTGCATTAATGTGGGCTACAGACCCTCACCCAATTTCTGAATCAAGCCTGTAACTTCTGACTGAGCTAATTTCAAAGCTACATCTATACTACAAGCTAGGGGTGTGATTCCCTGCTTGCGTACGCATACTCAACTCGCTCTCATCTGAGCTCGCGTGCAAAAAACATAGCAGCGCAGCAGCGGCATGCACAGTGGCAGTGATGGTACGAGCTAGCTGCCCCAGTAGGTACCCACGGGGTTCAGACTGGTTTGTGCTTGGTGCGGCTAGCCTGTGCCACCACGGCCGCTGACTGTGCTACTGTGGTGATGCTGCTATTTTTAGTGTGCTAGCTCAGATGAGAGCGAGCAGGAAGTATGTGTACATGAGCTGGAAATCATACTCACAGCCTATAATGTAGACACAGCCCGTCTGAATTTGTCTGGTTTAAACTTCTAACCATTGGATCTCGTTCTACCTTTTTCTGCTCTTAATATCTTCTCTATGTAGGTACCTAGGCTCCGCCTAATCTTCTCTTAGATAAACTAAATACGTTGAGCTTCAGCCTTGTACTATAAGATGTGTTTTCAAGGCCTGAAATTATTGTAGCTCTTTTCTGAAACCGTTCCGATTTTTCAACCTCTTCTTTTGAAGTGGATTTGCCAGCAGTGGACACAATATTCTGGTAACTGTTTTGCTAAAGCTGTATGCAGAAGTAGTATCACCTCTCCACTCTTACTTGGTAGTCACCTGTTTATGCATCCAATGATTACTTTAGCCCAACTGTGCTCTGAGAGGTGAGAGTCGATTGTTTATTTGCCATGATCTCAAAGTCTCTTTGTTTCAATACGTCCAGAATACAGTACACCATCTTGTAACACGTGTTCTTTGTTCCAAGAGTAGTCAGAAAGGAGTTACACAATAACAAAAGGAAACAAATATGCACTCAGCATAAAATCAATAGGTTGAGAACAAAATTAACCAAAACACCGAAAAGATGTGAAGAGAAGAAAATCTTTAATTGCCTACACAGCAATGCTAGAGGCCTGGGTAATAAACAAGAGGAATTGTAATTGCTTATTTATGAGCAAAAATTTGACTTAGTTGGTATTATTGAAACCTGGTGGGATGATTCCCATGATTGGAATGTTAAAATCAATGGTTATAACCTATTTAGGAAGGATTGAATGAGCAAAAGGAGAAGGTTATCAAAAGTGACAGCCTGTTCCATCTCATTGATAGTGTAGAAGAAAATGTCTGGAATGCTTATGGATCAGTGTCCTAACAGATAATGTACAAGATGGGGTATTAGTTGGTGTCTGCTACAGAGCATGAAATCACACTACTGGATAGTATGACCAGCTCCTAAAGCACCTATCTATAATCTGTGATGGTGGGGAAGTTTAGTGATCATAGGGTGAGGAAGACTTCAATCTGAATGACATATGCTAGAGGTCTCGTGCTGGCAGTCCTAAAACATCCTTAGAATTTCTAAGTACTAGAAATAACAATTTCCTAACAAAGTGTTGCATACAGCATGGGGGAAGTCTTTATTTAGAGCTTGTCTTGACCTGAGGAATTGATCAGAGAACTGAAAATTAGTGATAGTTTATGTAGATGTGATCATGACTTTATCACATTTGGTATGTGTGAACAGAATAAAGTCCAAACCTGTAATATATATACTTGATGCTTTGAAAGGGCCAGTTTCACAGTGCTTAAAATAATTGAGCCAGATCAGATGGGAGGAAGAATTTAAACTGAAAAATGTGAATGATAATTGAGAATTGTTTAAGAATGTTTTACTAGATGCCCCAAAAGCCACAATTGAGAGAAATCCATGCAGCTTTAAAAAACAAAAAACACATAGTGGCTTAGAGAGGAAGTGAAGGCAGCTTATATGGAAGAAATGGGAAATTGATAGCTTCTGGTTTATAGTCATTACTAGGAATTTGTATTTTAATGAGGAGGTAGACTGTAAGGAAATCAGAACTGATGGAATTGAAAAAAAAAAACAGAATCTGTTCAGGTTAAAATCACCGGGGGGGGGGGAAGAGATAACAAAGGCTCCATTGGGATAGCACTTGGGGTCTGCTATAGACCTCCAGGATCTGATTTGCATATGGTTAGAGACCTGTTTAATATTTTAAATGAAATGAATACTTCTGAGAATTGTGTGATTGTTGGAGACTTTAATTTCCCATGTATAGACTGGAGGACAAATGCTATTAATAATGGTAGGTCCCAGATATTCCTGGATTTGGTAGCTGACGGATTTCTTCAGCAAATAGGCACCAGCCAACAAGAAGTGATTCCCTTTTAGATTTAGTACTCGTAAGTAGCGAGGACCTCATAGAAAAACTGGTTGTAGAGGAAAGGCTTGGTTTGAGTGAACATGAGCTAATTCAGTTTAAACTAAATGGGAGGAGAAACAAAAATAGGTCTGCAACTAGGGTCTTTGATTTCAAAAGGGCAAACTTTAAAAAATTAAGGGAATTTGTTAGGGAAGTGGACTGGACTGAAGAACTGAAGGATCTGAATGTAGAGGAGACTTGGAATTACTTAAATCAAAGTTGCAGAAGCTGTCTGATGCCTGCATCACAAGCAAAGGGGAAAATGTGCAGGGAAGAGTTGCAGACCAAGCTGGATGAGCAAGCATCTCAAACTGCTTATTAAGAGAAAGCAGAACGCCTACAGGAAATGGAAGATGGGAAGGATGAGCGCGGTGTAAGCTACCTCTTGGAGGTTAGAAAGTGTAGGGGGAAAGTGAGAACTCCCAAAAGCCAAAGAGAGCTTAAAGTTGCAAAGGAAACTAAAACCAATAGTAAATTATCTATAGCCATATAAATAAAGAGAAAACAAAGAAAGAAGAAGTGGGGCCACTAAGCATTGAAGATGGTTGGAGGATAAAGATAATCTAGGCATGGCCCAACTCCTAAATGAATACTTTGCCTCAGTTTTTAATAATGGTAGTAAGGACCTTAGGGGTAGTGTAAGAGTGGCTAATAGAAATAAGAATAGGGAAGTAGAAATTATCACAGCTGAGTTGGAAGTCAAACTCAAACAGCTTAATGAGACCAAATCGAGGACTCAGATAATCTCCATCCAAGAATATTAAAGGAACTGGCACTGCTATGGCACTCATCAGCATAGTGTCAATGCTTCACAGATAGCAATAAAATTATCTTCACAACCACCCCTGTGAGCTGCGCAGGTCTGTATGCCCATTTTACATATGGAGAATTAAGGCACAGAGGAATCAAGTATAATTGACAAAATATCCACTAATTTGGGGTGCCCCCACTTGAGACACCTATGGCCTGATTTTTAGTAGTACTTAGCATTTTTCTAACACTTTATATATTCAAGGCACAGTTCCTACTGAATTCAGTTGCAGTTATGAGGCTCTGGACTTTTGCAAATCTGATTTCATGTGTCTCAAATTGGGCACCCAGAAAATGAGGAATTCTCAAATAGTGGCCAACTGTGACAGATTTTGGTTTGTGACTTGCTCAACATCACATAAAAATTCTGGCGGAGATAGAATGTGAGTATGTTATTAATAACAACAAGAATTAAACTCTTTAGAACAGGAACAGTTTCCGTTGTGTTTATGTAGTGCTTAGCACAGTATGGGTTGGTCCATGACTGAGGCTTCTAAGTACTATAATAATAATAATAGATAATAAAGGTTGCATGGGCAACCTTAATTCTAGCATGTGTTAACTCTTGAATGCTTGACTCTGCAACCTTAATTCTGTTTTAATGTAGTTTTTGTGTGTGTAATTTTTGAGCAGTTAAACAAAGCAAAAATGAATAAATTTAAAAGGTTTCCACCTGAATATCTCCCATTTACTGCATGGGTCATCTGTAGGTTTGGGATCTATAGATCTCCACCATGGACCATTGCCATTTGAGGTAGTGAACCAGCTACTAGCAGGGGATGACTAGTATCAGTTTTCAGTGGGATTCACAGATATTTGATGTGAGAGGAATGTTGAGACTTGGAAATCCTGGGTTGAATTCCATGTGATGCAGGGAAGTGTTCTCTAGTGCAGTGGTCTCCAAAGTGGGGTGCGCAGGACTATCCTTGGGGGTGCGCAGCAGGAGGAGTGCTGCCGAAGGAACGCCGCCAGCACGGAGGCAGCAGAGCTCCTGGATCTTTGATTCTTTGGCTGCACGCTCTTCTTTTTTTTTTTTTTTTGCTGCCCCAGAGCTGTAGTATGAAAGGTTGTCTCTCTCACCAGCAAAATCATAGAATCAGAGGATTAGAAGGGACCACGAGGTACCAACAGAAATTGGGCCAGTAGAAGATGTTACTCACCCACCTTGTCTCAAAGATATTTTTTGTAATTTGCCATTCTTCAACTGGCCAAAGAGGTCTCACTCTTCTAACAGTGGAGCACACTGTCCTTACTGCATTTCCCAGACGTTGCTATCCCAAGAAACCAAAGATCTGTGAGATGAATCCTCATGGTGGTTCTGACACTATATTGGATGTAAAGGAACAGTGGGTGATATGTCATAGAGGGACATAGGGAGGTTTTTTGCGGGGAGGAGTGTCTTTTTGGCACATAATAGTTTCTTAGCATTGATATTATAACAATTCTTCAAAAACTGCTAGAGAAACAATGGGAGGCGTTCTTCTGATTTTTTAACATGTTAATGTATTTATAGCTTGATTTTTTCCAAAGACTGTGATCATCCCTCCCAGTGATGTCAGTTGTACCTCTATAAGGTCAGCACCTTTGATAATCAGGCCACTTGTTGTTAGTCAACCATTTAAAAAGTCAAAACTATTAAAATATGTAATTCCTGAGTCAAAATTGGGTATTGCTGAACATATGCAAGATCTTGTAAATGCAGTTTACACTTCGCAACACAAAAAATGGATGAATTAGCAATAGGATTATATGCTGCTGTAAGAACTTGACATTACTGACATGTAATGGGAAGTATGCCAAGAAATCAACACTGTCTGCATGAAGGAGTTAATAGAACTAAAATGTAAGCATGAGGAGACATGAAAGAACAGCATGTGACATTGTATGTGAATTAAATTAACCTTTCACTTAACACATTTGGGAGCAAGATTAATGTCTTGTGTCTGAACAATATTTAACAATAGTGACAAGTCTTCCCTTTCAAACATCTTAGTGCTGTCACTATCATTATTCAGTGATGATATTTACTTTTTCCTTGCACCCCATGCCCTTATCATGTATTCTAGTGGCAATTTATGGAGATTCATGTCTGCAACTCACTTTGTATCAAGCTGAGAATGTACCCTTAGATTTGTATTAAGATTATTTTGTCCTTCTGCATATCTAATTACCTGCATGATTAACTAAGTCGACTATACTAAACAATTACTTTGGCTATCTGAAAATTTAAATTAATCTTAATGTCATACTATCACATGGCACTGATGCATCTTGCTTTTGTAAGCATATGTTTCAAGCGATAATGAGCAATATTAAGGTTGGTACTCTCGCCTCTTAAAAATCTTTAAAATTATAGAGGAAAAAATTAATATAATTGAACTTCTTAAGTCAAGGTCAAAGGCTTCTCCAAAGATGTTTTCCTATTGTACTTTTTCCAAGTTCTATCAGTGGAGGTAAGGGTCTTGGGAATTTCTAAAGTAGAATCAGATTTTTAAACTGCATAATTCAGATGACATTGTTAGATATAAATCAGCATAGATATAAAGATCCAAAAGGGATCTACTGTGCACTCTCAGTTCTTGAAGAACAACAAATTATTTTTTTACAAATGACAAGTCACATGCTGGATATTCATATAAGTTATTGGTTTTGTGTGTCTTTTTTTTTTTGTGTGTGTGTGTCTTTCTTTTTTTCTTAAAGAGCTGAAATAAACATACAAGGAAAGTTGAGCATTTTTGGTTTTAATGAACTGTGCTATTCCGGGGAATCTGTTCAGAGCAGTGAATTTACATACATTTGAGATCTTGATTTTAATTCTAGCACTTCGAGAAACTAACACTATCTGCAGCTTGCAGAAACTCATCATGAACACACACACAGCAACTCAGCTGTGAAGGTGCAGTAGTAAAATTCACAACTATTATGTAGAATGTAGGTGGTGGACAATAAAGGCTAAAACATCCTTAAAACTTAATTAACAACACTTTACACATTCATTTATAACAGTTATCAGCATTCATCCTTTTGTATTCTAAATGTATCCTGTCTAGTCTTTCTCTGCACTTTGGAAAGTAAAGTTAATGAAATGAAATTAGTTGTCCAAAAGGAGCTAATTGCCTGCTTCACCTATAGCTGAAACTTTCCAGTGTTTAAGTCTTGTTTTCAAATTCAGTTACTCAATTTCCTTAAAGAAACGGTGATTATTTAACTGTAGTCACTTATCTATTTAGAAAACTCCACAGATAGCAATAGTATAAAAAATTGCAATTTTTTTTAAAACTGGAAATGTCTATGGAAAATAATGATCTGGGAGAACTAGTGCAGTCCAATTGTGATCCTGTTTTCTTACTATATTTGACAGTCTGTTAAGCAGATTGGCAGATTCCCTAATTAATCAATTATGGGGGAGTGAAGGACGGATCTAAGTATAGAACTCCTTTTTCTCTTATTGTTTGACTTGCACAGGTTCTGGCAATATCTTCGTCAAAATCCTCAAATTGCTTTTCTAGAATTGTCTGAATTTAAAAAGTGTTCTTTGGGATTAGTGGATGAATGTAAATGTTCCAAAGACCAATTATATTTAATCTTAGATATTGAACGTTACATTTTGATGAACCCAGACTTCAAGTTCGTTAGACAGGTGAAGAGTTCTTAGTATCTATTTGATTTCTGTTTTGTACTGGAGAAAGATTTAGTTGTTTTAACACATTATTCTTTGATAACAGGTAAGTAATCCAAAAGAGTCTGCAGTATACTACATATATTACACACAGTAGAGTTTTATGAAACTGAGCTCTGGACAGCAGAAACACTTGATATTTTTGTCACAAAAATTATACATTTGAGTAGAAAAGTCTATCACAGTAAATAGGGATTATCCAGTACTAAGAATAAATCATTTTGACAGTTGAAAATTTTGTTAAGCAAGTGAGAAAAAGTAAAGTGCAGTAATATGCTTTATATATGTCTGAATTTTAACTTTAAAGAGACATTCGCAGTTCTTAGAAATCATACTGTAAAAAAAAAAATTACCTACCTTACAAATAACACCTTACATAAATACAACTTAAAAATGCATGCTACTTTTCACTATATATGCCATTTATTTCTGGTTACTACAGTATTTATTTGCAAATACTACAGAGAGTGCTTAACTGCTACTTCCACTGGAATTACTTTTTTCTTGTAAATAATTCTGTTAAATTTTTATAAAAGCACCAAACCTAAACTTTAAGCTAGGTTTGAGTTGTCCCTTTAATTTCTGATTTTGTTAAAAGTGAAGTTTTTCTACACTTAAAATGAATGCATTTATTTGTGACTTGTTACATTTTTTCTTATAGTGGAGTTCTTGTGGAGTCATACAACAGAGAGCATGTGTGTAGGATATATGTCAGCACAGGATGGCAAAGCAAAGGTAAGCCATAAGGAATAGGTTGTGACCTAAAAACTTCTACAATGACTTTAATTTTATTTTGAAGTCATGCGAAATAACTCAGTGTTGAAATATTATTTTAAAAGCGACATAATATAAGATTCAGTTTACTCGATTATCTGCAACCTTGCCACTGGTGGAGTGCTTTCTGCTCCTTGGCCAGGCTAGTGACCAATACTGTTAACACAAAACAGCCTTAGGATCAGACTTCTATAAAGGTCTGCAAAGAAAAGTTGTAATAATGAATTAAGGAAAAAGAAAGCTATGCATTCGTTATGAATGAGTGCATATTTTAGCATTCTGTCTGGACTTGAGTGTTCAAATCAGCTATCTCACTGGTAGTTTGCCACTCTTGGTCATTTTGATAGTGCTTTTCATTGGTGATGTGCCCTGTGTTCATTTGATATTTTAGATTTGTGTAGCTAATGTTTAAACCCTTCCTACTTCCCTTTATAGGGGGTTACTAACAACTCTGACTTTTACATTTTTGTATTTTTAAAGCCTTGCGTATTTATATTATGATAAATCTCTTATCATTTAATTAAACTGTTTATCTGATCTTGATCCTGGCAATATAGATTGAAAACATGAATCAAAAGAAATTTACTGCTACATGTTGAAAGGAAGAGTGAAGCAGAATAGGAACTCTTCTGCTTTTAGATAAGTTAAGTAAATGGATGCTGTTTGATTATTTTTTTTAAGCATTCTAATGAGAATGAGACTTTAGACTATACTCTAGTACATAGTGTTGGGTATCTAGACATCAAGTGCATTGAATTTCCTCTTTTCACCATTTAAGGTGATCATTATTTATAGCTTCCATAGATGTGCTTGGTGCCTGACAGTTGCATAGGAAAAACACCTTTCGCAGAAGTGGTTATGTAAAGGCAAGGTCTACGGCAGTTTTATACAGATTTAGCTGTTTTGATTGGGGTGTGATATTTTTAAGGAAACAGCTATACTGAAAACTGCTAGTGTGGGTGCAGTTTATAGAGGTGCCTTATATCAGTATAGCTTGTTGCCATTCACTTACAGGAGTAGCTATGCCAGTACAACTGTATTAATCCTAGGTGGATTGTACTATTTTAACTATACTGGTGTAGTTAGATGTTACAGTTTTTGTGTGATAACAAGCCCTTAGGCAGATAATAGATGTAAAAATTGAAATACCCCATGACAGGTTGGAAATGGGAGGAGCGGGTATAACACAAAAAATCCAAGCTTATTCCTAGGATCCTTTATCATAAAGAATTCAGATCAGCTTGGCAGTTTCTTGGATTTTTAATGTAAGATTTTGGTTTTGCCCACATAATTGGGTATGAGACGGTGACGGTGAGAACATAGCGTAGTTGAGTGTAGCGATGGAAAGTGAAACAAAAGAAAGGGATATGCCATATAGGAGTGATGTGCCATGGATGAGGACAAGGCGAGCTGTTTTCAGGCATGGGGCGGTTATGGGGAGAAGACTGGAGTTGTGAGTGAGAGGCAAATGGGGCATTCTGGAGAGAAGTGTGGGCAGAGCATACAGTGTGAAAAGGAAAGCAGAAGAAGGTGAGATGCAGGCAGGAACAGAGCTGCGTAGAATTTGAACATGAGGATGAGTACAAATTGATGTGGAAACAAAACTGGAGAAGGAACTTGGTGAGAGAGGGCAGATCAGTTTTACAGCTAGAGAGATGAGATGATTTGATGAGAGCCCAGATACTTTGGGAGAAAGTTAGAGAGATGACCCCAGTAACTGTGAGCCTGAGTGATCAGGGGTGTAGTTCAGTTATCAGCAGTGTTAAAGGGGGGGAGGAGAGGGTTCAGAAAGACGTTTGCTTTTTGCTGTGGTTAATTAGTGAGATGTCAAGGAGGACAATTTCTCCCTTCTATGCAGTCCTGTATTTCTGTCTGAGGTAGATTTACAAGTAATTATCACAAATGTGGTATTTGAAACCATGGGAGTAGATGAGCTCATCTGAGGAATAAGTATGTAGAGAGAAACAAAGAGAAGGATACCAACAGAGGCTATGTCTACACTATGACCCAGGGGTGGGATTCCCCTGCCAGGTACACATACTCCTGCTAGCTCGCATTGAGCTCGTGCAAGTATAATTAGCAGTGTAGTCACCGCAGCACTAGCAGTGAGGGCATGGCTGAGCTGTGCCGAACCCAAGCCCACGTGAACCGATGAGAGCAACAATGAGTAAGTGTACACGAGCAAGAGAATCACATCCCTTCGCTTGTAATGTAGACAATAACCTGAGGGAAAAGGAGGAAAAGCAGCTGGTTACAGAGATGCTGACACAGCAGCTAATGGTGCATGCTTTTCTATGGCACATGTACAGCTTATTTCCTTGGATAATCAACTGGAGAGAAATGTAGTGTCACTGAGTTCTTATTTATTTTAGTTTTTTTTTTTTTAAAGAATCTAGTTTCTCAAACTCAAGTTAGTGAAGCTAGAACAAGCCCAGCTGCAGATGTTCCAGAATCAGCAGTTGTGAATGTATAAACCTGCTTCATTCTTTATATTTTTGATCCTGAAATATAGTCATTAAAAGAAGTGAAATGTTAAATTATATTAGAAATAAAAGCTGATTTTGTTTACACAATAAGGCTCCTGGAGCTGGTGTGCGGAAATGTTTGTTCCTAGCTAGTGGTAGCCTACTGAAGTCTTTAGTATTTCATATGAAATCTGGTTAGTAATGAGCACCGGCAATACAGTGCCATACCCAGAGACGTTTTCCTACTCGCAGTTGCATCGTTTGACATCTGGTGTACATTGTTTTCATATTGCTGGTAAATTCTCCAGCTGGTAATCTTGATTGGGCTGACAGACACAGCTGCTTCTCTCGGTTCACTTTTAAATTATGTTTTTGACCTTCATTGAAGAAAGTTAATCCCTCTCCCTTTCTTCCTCCTTTGAGCCTGTGGCTGCAAATGCTTTCCAGAGAAAAACCACAAATGCCTTGGCTGCCGACTTCTATTGATCAAAAAATAATCTTCTGTCATAAAGGCTGGAATTTTGTTGTATTGCAAGTAAGGCTAAGTCATAGAAGGAAAGCCAGGCTTGAAATAGAACACAGTGTATTGCAAATAATTTTTTTTCTTTAAAAGAGTAAATATTTGGCAAACTTAACATTACCTGGCTGCTGTGAAAAAATAATGGTATTAGTGACATAAAGGTACAGGATAGCCATGTATAAAACTCCAGAAGCAAAATGGTCAAGCAGGTAGCATAAAATTGACTTGCTTCCCTGTTTATCCAAGTTTTTTTGCAGCCTTCACTCGTCCTGGGCTAAAGTCTATTCTGAAGTCAAGTGGTTCACATCATGACCAGTTAATGATTGAGGAATTCACAGGCAGTGCTGTTAATGATTGAGGAATTCACAGGCAGTGCACATCAATGCAGCAAGTCCATTGGTAGCAACATTTTGTAAAATGATAAGTTATTAAGAGTTGTAAAAGGAACACACTAATATTAAAATCATAATTATGTATATATTTATAGAATAATAGGTTAAGGGTCTCTTCTAGTCTTAGATCATTTAGTCTGACTTCCTGTGTGTCATAGACATTTCAATGTCACATAGCTACCCTGTATTGAACCCAAAAACATTTGTGTTTGGTTCATGCTTACCTTTCAGCAAGACATCCAGTCTTGATTTGAAGAGATGGAGAATCCCCTCTTCCTTTGGTTATTTTTTCCAATAGTTAATCTCCCTCACTGTTAAAAAATTGTGCCTAATTTCTAACTTGAATTTATCTGGCTTCAGATTCCAGCCAGTGATTCTTGTTATGCCTTTCACCACTTGATTGAAGAGCCCTTTAGTGCTCCGTATTTTCTCCCAGGGAAAGTACTTATACATTGTAATCAAGTCACCTCTCAATATTTTGGTAAACTAAACACTTTGAGTTCTAAGTCTCTCAATGTACAGCCTCAAATCACTTGTGTGGCTATTCTGTGTAACCCCTCCAATTTGTCAACATCCTTTTGAAAATGTGAACACCAGAATTGTTGACAGTAGTCTAGTATGATGGCATGTCTACACTTAAAATGTTGCTGCAGTGCAGCTATAGCCCTTCAGTGAAGATACTGCCTACGCTGATAGCAGGGCCTCTCCTATTGGCATAGGTATTCCATCTCCCTGAGAGGCAGTAGCTAGGTCAACTGGAGAATTCTCCAGTTGACCTAACAGTGGCTACACTTGGGGTTAGGTCAGTTTTACTGTGTCACTTAGGGGTGTGGATGTTTCCCACCCTTGAGCAATGTAGTATACCAATCTAATTTCCTAGTGTAGAACAGGCCTCAGTCTCACAAGTGCTCTCTACAGAGGTAAAATCATCTTCCTGCTCCTCTTCACTGCTTCCCTATTGATACATCCATGCATCTCATTAGCCCTTTTTGCCACAGCATCCCACTGGGAGCTCATGTTCAGTTGTCTGTCCACTATGACCCCTAAATCCTTCTCAGAGTTGCTGCTTTCAGGATATAGTCCTCCATACTTTAGGTATGTCCTGCATTCTGTCTTTCTAGATGTATACATTTGCATTTGTCTGTATTCAGTTGCATTTTGTTTTAATGGACCCAGCTCACCAACCAATCTAAGTCATTCAATATCACTGCCCTGTCTTCGTCGTTATTTACAACTCCACCAATCTTTGTGTTAACCACATATGTTATTGGCAGTGATTTTATGTTTACTTTCTGATTTCTGATAAAAAATGTTGAATCATGTCAGGCCTGGTACCCATCCCAGTGGAACCCAACAAGAAACATCTCCATTAGATGATGATCCCCCATCGATAACTATGTTGTGAGATCTCTGAGCCAGTTTTTAATCCATTTAACATTTGTTTTCATATTGTATATTGCTATTATTTTATCAGAATGCTGTGTAATAAGTCAAGTCAAATGCCTAGCAAAAGCCTTAAGGGTATTACATCTATGTAGTTATCTTAATGAACCAAACTTATAATTTCATTAAAGAATGAAATCA